CTCTCCCTCGCCCTCTCCCTCTCCCCCTCTCTCTCTCATTTGAGCTATATCTTGTGATTCATTGTGACCACTGTGAATCTGTTGATAATCTTGAAGCATAATATTTGCTTGCATTTACCTGACTACTATACCCTGTCTGTGTTATCATGTAGGTTCCTTTTAATTCTTTAAACCAAGCTACTATGGTGCGGTCAAGAATTCGTGGCGCAACTTATTGTCAAATATCTCCACAACTATCGAACATATTATATTCACTGGCTTTTGCACATTTACTTGTATTGATTTGTCTCAACAGATCAATATTTTTGTAAAGACCTGCTTGCTCTATTCTAGAAAATTCCTTTTTTAAATACAAATAAAAAATCTTTGTGGGTGGTTTTTACTGATTTTAAGAGGTTTACAGCTGGGACGATATCGCGTTTAAAAGCAAGTTCGTCCTTTTTTTTTCTAATCGCGAGATTATCTTTATTGAACGCATGTTTTGAGAATGTTTAGTGCAAAAAAGTGTTCTTTATAAAATTAATTTCTTGTAACTAGTTTTGCCGCTAAAACGTGTCATTGGTAAGCTGTGACGTAACCCATAATATGCGTATACAAAATGCATGCGAGAAGCGGGAAGTGCTTTGAACAATTCTATTTTCCGCGTGAAGGAGACTTGTAGTATTTTATGTTAATTTATGAAGAAAAGTTTTTAAATCCAGCCTCAATTGTTGTGGAAAAATATGATTGAGAATTGAGACAAACTGCTGTGCATGGAATGTATGGATAACACTGATTCACCCGTTAAAAAGGTATTTGAGGATAAGTTGCACCCCGAATTTTTGACCGCATTACAACAGCTTTCACTACATGTATTGTTGAATGATACCTTTTGCGTATCTGGTTTAAGTTTTGTTACGGTAGCGATGTGAGAGAGAGAGAGAGAGTGTGTGTGCGCGAGCGCATTTGCGTATCATTTGTGCGTGTGCGTTAGCGTGCTTATGAAAGGCACTTTGGGTTACTTGTCTCCAGTTGTTCCTGTCTAACCGTCATCTTTTTTGTTTCCAGATCCTTCTATTTTCAAAATATTTCTATAATAATGTTAATGATAATATAATAATATTATTGTGACTATTGATGCTCATTGTCATTTCTTGTCTGTCTTTTTCTTTTGTTTACCTGACAGCTTTTTTAAATATCTTTTTTAATTTATAACTTTTGTAACAATGATATTTTCTTCGATAAAAAAGTTTTGCATGGACAAATAATGAAGTCTTTTGTCTTCCTTACTCAGTGTTGTTTTATATCATTTTATATATGAGTGCGTGAGAGA